GTGTACGCATGCCTTGGCGGATAGACCACTGGCCACGCGTCCTCGAGAGGACGGAGCGTTCCTGCCACGGACCGATCACAGATGGCCCATTATTCCTTCCTATCATGCCAAAGGTGGCTCAAAAACGTCTTCCCCACACTAGCCTACAATTACCTATCCTACACATCGACATCACATCCCGCCGTTTTAGCCCACTTCCTATGCCCCAGTATAGATACCATCTCCTTCGGGCTATTCTATGCCTCTCTATTTTCCTTGTACTTGTGTGGCCGCGCCCACTCGCGGGGGGGTAAAACGGAAGAGAGTTGGACAGGGAGTACGACTTACTGAAATGACCGCAAGGCTAAAAATAGATATCTACCGGTGAGAGAGACGGACAATCTACTTATGCACGGTACCGTTCTTTCTAGAATCATCCGCGCCCCCGCAAACTGCCACCGCTCTCAGGGGAGCCCGCCGTTCCTACATGATGGCAATACTGTGCTCTTTGACCCGGCAAGACCGACGTGTTCTTACCGGCTGGTAGCTTCGCAAGGTTGACGTTTAAATATCTAATCACACAAAGCACAGAAACTGCATGCAATTTTAAATGTTTTCCATTGACAGGCGTGCAAAGGTCCCTCCCAGTGGAAACCAAGGAGCGCTCCCCAAGGCTACGCGTCAATCTTGGTCGCGAGGGGTCTATTGTAAAAAGTAGGATGTAGAGAGTGTATACTGAAACCTAAATATGCCTAAACTTTGTTGTATGGACTTCGTAGAGCATACTATGCATAGAACCTCGCGGAAGCATGATTTTTTGTGTGCGATTTAGTATGCACATACTTTTCACCATAGTATTGGGTTTTACAAAGCGACACTAGAGCCTGTAGGATACAGAATTAACTGCTTTGAAGCTACACCCACGTGCAATGTGGGTTTTAGAATGCGATACTAAATAAAGCCTGTAGGACACAGAATTTGACACAATTCAATCAGACACCCACGTATTTTATGGGCTGTAGAATGCGATACTAAAGCTAATAGAATATCGTATCGCCTTGGACCCACACACCGCCCAATCATATGGGTTTTAACGTCCTATGTAAGTATTACATGGGTTTTACACGGAACGCAGCACGAAAGCCTGTACAATGAAGAGTATAGGTTTAACAAAAGCCATACTACATCCTGGGATATAGTAGACTGGTTGCTGCAAGTTACCCGTGCTAGGTGGTGATTTATGGGCGTCAAATTTCGTCTGAGGGACAGGAGCGGGGGGAGGGTTTCCACTTGGAGGAAGGACTCCTTGGGTGTGCTGCCAACTTACCAACGGCGACCTCGATGTGCTTGCGCGACACGACTTGGCTTTGAATTCCCGTCGCTACGCTCCTACCGATGAACTTCGTACCCGGCGGGAGTAGCACTTCCCTGTGAGGCCAATCCATCAAATCCCAGTTCACACATACGACGCGCATGACACGCGCAAGAAAGGGTTAGGGTTGTGCCGCGAGAGAGCGACCGGAACGAGAGAGAGACAGCGAGTCAACGACAGCTGTAGTGCGCGTGGGGTGGGCAGTCAGTGTCGCCCTTCAGTATTTTTCAGAAATCAGCGAGCCCGGATGTACGTTGGTGTTTTGAGGTGGATGTTTGCTTATGTCTCCTACCGCACCGTTGCTGCCATGAAGACAGCGCCACACAACGTGCACGAGCTACAGCTACGGCACTTACGTACCGCGACAGCAGCACAGCAGCATTATATTGGGCAACAGTGTAGGCGCACAGCTGTAGCAACGACATCAGTTTGGCGATCGTTTCTTATTGTGAATCATGTACAGTTCTAGAAAGGCAGCGGGCGTGCAAGCCCATTGTGCCCAGTCCGAGTTTCAACACAAGCGTTGGGAGAAAGAGATACGGCCTTGTGTATTCGTAACAGCGGGCTCGAAATGTTGCCATGGGTCTTGTCAACGATGCGTCGTACAATTTGAAAACTGTCCAGCTTGCACCGAGTAAGAATGATAGGCCGCGGCGTCGGTGTGTCATAGACACGGACAGCACTGCTTCGGTGCTCTCTATCACTCACTTGTACCCAGAGGAGATTGGCTTCAGCACGTACAGCGGTGTGGTCATCGCTCCGTTTTGCTCCAGCGGAAGTGGTGTGCCTGGGTCTGTCGTTCCTGCTGGAGCTGCTGGATGTGTTTCTTGCGACCAACAGAGAGGCAAAAAACAGGCTCGGCTTTGCTGCAAGAAAAACTTGAGACCTTCCTGAGAGCCTGGGCAAATGATATCTTCTCCTGAACCGAGGAAAAACCCCCTCACATCAAAAGGAGGGAGTGGGGTGAGACAGAGAAGCGCAGATCAGCGAGGCGTTGCCTGTTGATTGCCGAGTTCAAGCCGACACAAGAGAGGGCCGCAGGCTGGGGGCTAAAGGGGCACAAGGACGACGGGGGTGCGGGGCTCCGCCGCATTCAATCATGCAACCAACGGAACGAGTCGGCACGTGTGTGTGCTGCGTAGCTGCTTGATCAGTCCGCTGTGTTGTTGAGTGGGTTGAGATGTGTGATGTCGCTGAGTCGCCGCTGCAGCTGCGTCTCTACTCTTGCTCGCCTTCTTCACAGCAAGAGGGCTATGCTGCTGTTGTACACAACCTTGGGGAACGATTGGTCACGTCTAACGACGAAAGTTTTAGTCTATGGGCGTGTTGAGTGCCCCACACACTGCACAGATACCGCGAAGCGAGACGAACCGATATCGATACAACTAGAAGCAGATATGATTGAGAGTGTTCACGCGAAGAATGGCCGTACTTTGCCAAAAAATGAAATAAGTCATTTTATTCTAGAACGAGCTATGGATACTAAATGTAGTCTCAGTCTGGACAAACTAGTACTCTTGAGGGGGCGGAAGTACTTGTAGCTCATTGACAACATTGTATGCTGTTGCTCTTCGTGGAGCACAGCCGTAGTCTACTCCCCCCGGCAACACATGTTCCCCCGCAAAACAAAACTGCAACTGACCATACAGACGCCAAATGAAGACAGCAACACGGCACTTCTACAACCGAGACCCTACGTACAACACGTCTAACCATGCTTGACTTTGTGTATGCATATGCATGACAACAGCGAAATTCTCCCGACGCAAAACCTCCGTGGAACCCAATCCCTTGGAAGAGTCATCTCCTCTAGCGAAACAAGCTCGAAATTGCCGCCACCACTGCTGGGATAGCCATCTCCTACAGTAATGATTATTGTGGTCACCGAGCAGCAATGCTTCGTTCGTATATACAAGGGACAAGATAAATACTGCTGTACCCGCTGCTCTAAAACGGCACCCCGGTAGCGGCTGTCTAAGGTCTACCCTGGAGCGGGGGTCATCTCCCGTGCTGATGCCCCTGCCCCAGGTCGATGGGGTCATACATCCAGTTGTCTTCACTGATATCGTCCATCAGCCTTCGCAGGCTCGATTTGATGTCCGAGACCAGCACCTGGGTGTGTAACCCCGCCGCAGCACGCACGGCACCACAGCGAGCACCAACGAACCACACCACACGTTGGACAGCGACAAAAGGGAGGAGAGTGGCGAAGAGAAGAGGGGAATGCGCGAGGTCAACTGGGTGTCACGAAGCAATCAGCAGGTAATTGCACACGATATAATCAAACACATTCAACTGTCCATACCACGTGATCCGATAGGCGCAGATCACACAAAACACGCACCATCTCCACTACTGAAACATCATGTCATTGGATACCTGCCTTCGCATTTGATAAAAAAAAACATGATTCACATGATCGGTCTACAGTAAGGTCGAAAACCCACTCCAACGTTGTGGAAGTTACCAAACACCGACAAACACCGACAAAAGTTAGGTAACAAGGCTCCGCTCTTGTTGGAAGCAGCCAACCGGGTGGGGCCTATAATAGCAGCCCGATAGAAGGAGCGGTACTTTGCACGCAGCAGTCCATGGGGCACTACTACTGCGGGGAAGGGAAGGCGAGCTACAAACAACAGTAAAGGACACATCATATTGCTTGTTCCAAGATGCTGGCGTATGTGTGGGTCCGTGCACTGTTCTCGCACTCATACGCCGCGATATCCTTCGAGAAATTACCGGCGACCGCCAAAAAATGTTTGTGTGAAGAAGAGCACCCCGGGGTTGTTTACTAAAAAGGTGCATGTCGCGGTCGTTGCACAGGAAAAAAAACACCCGCGGGGTGAAAGAAGCACACAAAATTTGCCGTGGATCCATCGCGCTGGAACCCACGAACGATGTCGGGCCTAGGCAAGATTTACGAGAAAGCATTCAAGAAGCAGAAGAAATGGAAACTGGAGAAGCTTGCGCCGTTCCACGGACGTTGCAATCTGTACAGTCGACCCCGCGTTAAGGTCGCTCGCGTTAAGGAAACTCCCCGCTTCAAGGAAACTTTTATGCTGAGCACCAGGGGTCCCGGCAGAATGTACGATAGTGGGGTGCCCCGATTGGTTCTGCCGCGTACCCCCTTTTTGTGTCCTGCGGGCCGCTCTTTGCATGTACCACGCGCCACAGTGAGTACAGAAGTAGCGACGCACAGACAGCGGAAGTAGCGAGCGGTCTGCTGCTGCAGCTGTAACTGGGTGTTGGTATGGATAGATTTCTCCCATCTGCCGGCGGTCCATCTGATGCCGCCAAAAAAAAAGTAGTGAATAACCTCGTCCCTCACCGAGGGCGAGGTTGCTCTCACTTGGAGGACATTCGATCCTATTTGTACGCGAAGGAAAGGGGCGGCGAGTACCGTGAGACGCAGTACCTTCTTTCGACGACCGTTCATTCGTACACTCATGACACTCAACAGAGCCGCAGAGCCAAGCCGCGGGGGGAGGTTCAGGGAACTCTTTGCGATATGTAGAGGGAAAAGTCGCCCATGGGTAGCTTTTGGTCTGCGCCAGGACAGTGATATGTACTGGTGTTCCTCGGTGCGACGCTGAAATACGCTTGTTGTTTTTTTGTTTCACAAGAATGAGATAAATATGTATCCAGTTGGACTTTCCTCCTTCTTCCGCTGCCGGCTATGCAGTACATTAGATGGGAAAGTACAAACTTCTGTACTGTAGTTAGATGTTTTCAACACGTCCCCGACTGCTGTACATCTCATTTCTAAGTATTGTAAATGTGTTCGACGTCAACAAACGGTTGCCAGTCGTCTCGGCTATGCTGACTTTTCATACCACACCGTTCCTTACCGAACGACACGAAGTTTGAGGTATAGCATGCCTCCATTGGCCAGGGGGATGGGGAGCTATCGTCCCCTGAATTTGAAGGACGCAACCCCGCTTTAAGGACGCTTTTTATCGGGAAAAACCATGTGCGTCCCTTAAGCGGGGTCGACTATACCAAATACGACATAAATCGTACCAAATGAACGGGTACCGTTGTTACTCCTCGTGAAAACCGCGGCATGGCATGAAACCAGCATAGGATCTCGGCACAAATAGAACGTACGCCCGCAAGCAGGCCATACACCGTGGTTTTGCATTCAACTCGACAATTTCTGCTCTATCCCAACCGGTTGCTGTAGCAACAGAGCAACAAGCCCTCGTCGTTTTGCTCTCAGGGTGGCCCACTCATGCGCCGTCCGAGAACATACAAAAGTGACTAGATCATCCGTAACTTCACCACAGATGCCACTATCAACCATAGTGCTCCCTATCGTTCGCGAAAATGTTGGGTCGCCATCACATCGCTGATCACGGAAGCTCCAAAGGTCACCTGAAAATCGACTCAATTCACCTTGAACCGGAAGTTTACAGCAGCACAAACACAAGCGCGGAGCTGTCACGCTCGCTACCTCCTGCGATATCTCAGTCGTAGTCGTGACAGAGTTCAACCTTCATCGACGTTGTCGGAGATCAACACGGTCGGTCATGAAAATCAACGCCGTTTCGAACACAAAATAGTCATTCCCGCTCGAATATTGTTCATCACCACTACAGCGAGAGTTGTTGTACAATACTCTTAAACCCTGTGCAGAGAAGACAGGGTGATGATACTGCACTATGATTTTTTTGGCATGACAGAAAAGGGCGCTTGAGTGTGCATGAGGTGCAACGATGGTGGTTGGCCGCCGGAGGATGGGCTTCTATTTTCTACATAGCCAGAAATGAAAAACGGACAGAAAAAACAACAACAACAACAACAACAACAACAACAACAACAACAACAACAACAAATAGCAACATAGTTGCCGGCATGATTGCATGGGTATTTCGTTCAACGCCCCGGGTGTGCCTACATTTTACCCCGGGGCGAACTCAAAAAAGTAGAGCGGCAGGAAAAAAAAAATCCGGGGATACAGCAGTGCGTATGGTATGCATACTAGCTCTTATGTGCTTCGCTCGCGGTTATGTGCGGGTGGTTCTGATGAAGGGGACTCATGGGAGGTGTTCTTAAAGGAGTTGCGGTGCAGAAAAGGCAAGGCCAACCAAATGACATCCTCTGGTGATAATCCTGTGCAGACTCGCGTGCCTGAGGGGGGCATTCTACGATCGGGCATGAGGGGCCTTTTGAGCGGCACTCTTCTCTCGCGATATAAGGTGAAAGCAGAGCTGATATCAATCACCTGTTTCTGCAGCGTAGTTTCTACAGCATCGGATAATGCCGCCCGGTGTTTCATGTGTCGAGCGCACCGTGTATATATTAGAATACTGTGTAGCTCTCTCGAATGGTGTCCCATGCAACACCCATACCTTCTTGGCATCCTCCGCTAGGTGCTTCTCGGCCGTCAGCTTCTCCCCTACCAGCGCCCAGTGGTCCATACCGTGCGCTTCCGCCTCTCCTTTGCCTGCCACAGAGTGTGACAACAAACGGCGACATATTGGATTCAGTCAGTGGTGGTCTACAGCATGTACCGCTATAGTTCGCGTATGCATACCCCTCAAATACCGGCCAGAGAGGGGTGCATCCCCTGGTTCAACCTTGGTACTGCACAGAAACAGAGAGATAGCCACCCGGGGGAGAAAAAAACACAATCACGTCCACCGGCAACAGCAGAGGCATGTCATCACTCATGGGGGGGTTGATGCAATGGTGCAATCACGGGGAGAGGGGAAGGTATGCCCGCAGTATTAAGGTTGGGTGTGTGCAGTACATAAGTGATGTAGTCCGGTGCCCTCTCATTCGTGGGAGTACAACGTGTCAAGCACTTGCACTCGCACTAAAGCGGGCACCAGCACTATTCAATGTATGGCCCATCTTCATCATGCCACCTGCAAATGCCTGTACCAGCCAATTCCACGCGCACTACTATGTCAGTGTGAAGTGCAACAACCCGCACTACGTACGTACTTGCTCCTGAAGGAAGTGTTGAATGCTGAATGGTAAATGTACAAGTAGTTCCGCCGCATCTCGCTCTTGAACAGAGTGATGTTCCGCGTGGATCGATATTCTCTACTACTGCTGTACAAGGAACGGATGCCCCGGCAAGATTGTGTTTGCGATACGTTTCCTTGGGGCCAGGCCATGTAAGATTGCCTGCTGTGAGTAAACAACGCGAGAGAGCAAGGAGGGAGAATCAACGCTCGGTTTCTCTGTGTCTTTGCGCACCTTCAGACCCCACGCTTTGCCTTCGTGACGCCCCCACACTTGAACCCGGGGATAGGGCTGAAGTTGGAGTATTCATGGCGTTGTTGGTGCCCTTCGTAGGAGGTGTACTCTGTGCTGGTGGGCAGTGGGCAGTCGTTGAGTGGGAGTGATGCCACACCACACCGCTGCACCTCATCTGGACAGCAGGTGAGAAGCAAGCAGGGGACGGTCCAACCCCGAGCCCGCTGATTTTACGGGCCCCCCAGATCAACGAGAAGTGAGCATGTGAACCAACCACAACCAGTAGCCACGACACGCGTTGTCCCAGACGATAGATGGCGCATGCCGAGGAACGTATTGCAGACATAAAAGCGAGAGGCAATGCTTTATTCCGTGATGGGGATTTCCAAGGTGCTGCGGACGCGTTTCAGCATGCTGCAAACGCGGTCCGTCAGGTAAGAACGGTTTGAACGCACAGATAGATATCCAAAGATCCCGGACACTTTCTACCAGTCCACAGACCGCGCACACATCCATTTGTACTGACCATGTCTCCGTGAGCAAGACAGGAGTCGCTTGCTTTCATGCTGCGTGAATTAGAGTTGAAACTTTGAGAGACACAGCAAGCTGTGGTCGATACCATCCATAGACTATCTATTGTATGTGTAGACACATGTGACACAAGATATCACACCCCTTGGACCGATTTTCAAAGCTCGATTACTCCACAACGAAGAGGATGCATAAACGAAATGATACATTTTCGAAACACTCTCGACGAGACGATTTCAACGCCGCCGTTTTCGGCGCTGTGACTGTTCCTGCAGTTGAGATATCGAGCTTCGAAAATCGGACAAGGGGGTGTGTTATCTTGTGTCATATACGGTGTACTTCTGTACATGTGAGTTTTTCCACCACACACACACAAAAAAGAAGGTTCTCGCCCAGTATTCCTGACGTTGATGTTGCTTTGTTGCTGTTGCTGCTGTGTGCTCGACACAAAAAAACACTTCGGACCTCTATCGTCCCAATTCCGCGGTAAGAAACACTCCCATACACAGGATCTCGACATGAAGGCATTCCTTTAGTCTACAACAGTCTAGTGACCTCTGTTGGTAAAATCGGGTGAAGCAGCCTGGCCCTGACGCCGCGTACCCTGTTTGTCTTCTGCCCCGCGCCTTGCTCACAGATACCGTGCCCGAAGAGCGATGCCGCGGTTCCAGACCTAGAACTAGCTTGCCTTTGCAACCTTGCTTACGCTCAAATCAAGCTAGGCTCGATGAATGACGCAGAAGAAGCTTGTTCTCGAGCACTCCACATCCAACCTTCCTGCGCCAAGGCGCTCTTTCGCCGCGGGCAGGCTCGGCTAGCCTTGGGCAGAGCGCTAGACGCCGCAACCGATTTCCGAGCGGTGATTGTCCTCGAACCTAGTAACGTCGAAGCCACCAAAATGCTTCATCGCGCGCAGAAGAACGAAGAGAGGACGAACGCCAGCGGACGGCCCCCTGCGGAAGTGGTGATACCGCCAGCCTCTCGTGCACAGGTCCCGGCGGACGAGGTTTACCAGCAACCGCGACGAAGTAGTCTCGACGAACCTAGTAACGCAGAGCTGCAATCGGCCACACCGGCGTCACCACAGCAGTCGGCCGTGGCAGGGGAGATGACTGCCAACAACGAGGTATGCCTTGGTGAAGGCGACACTCCGAAAATGCCACCGCCACCGGTAGCGATCTCAGCAACAACACACAGCACCAGTAGTAGCGGAGCACCACCCCCGCCGGAAAACAGCAGCAGTAGCAGCAGCAGCAGCAGGTGTGATGTGGTGAACGTTCAGGCTGAGGGAGAGGGCGAGGAGGAAAGCGGGAAAGCTGAATACAGCAGTGTCGAGGCCTCGTCAACTGTCTCTCCCACGAGCGCGCCATGCTTCTTGGTCTCCGGCTGGCTTGCCTCGAAAGAGCGTGAACAAGCCAGACAGCAGCAGCAGCAGCAGCAGCAGCAGCAGCAGCAGCAAATCGACGAGGGCAAGCACGTCGGTATATATCACCCTCTACCAAACGCGACGATGAATACTAACCGTGCGAAGAAGGTCGATAAGTCTGCTGGCGGGGCAACGGGGGGTGCCGTGAGCGTGTCGAGGCTCGTATCTCAGCTTTCGGCGTCGCAGGAGGCTGCCCCAAACGAGTGGTACCCACCAAGTGCCTCTGGCACCACCACAGCAGCCGCACTCACAGAGTGGTCAATCTTGCAGGCGGAGGAAAAGAAGAAGGTGAAGGAGTCGGTCCGACGATGGTCTCCTGGGGAGGGGTTGCACCCTCACGACAGTGGCACGGAAAAGGCTACGGCTACCACTACTGGTGTGAAGGGAATAGCCACGCATCAAAAGCGGAGAAACGTACATGGACCAAAGAGGAAAAACAGCGCCGTCAAGGAAAAGCAACAAGGGGGGGGGAGGGTGGAGGAGAGTCGGACCGCTGCATTGTGGGCGGCCCTTCAAGAAGAGGAAAACAAGGTTCGGGAGGCGTTTCGCGATAAACTTCGAATCGGAGACAAACCACCGACGAAGAACAAGGCACAAGATAGAAAGAAGAAGAGGGGTGCTACTGCTGTGCTTTTGCATGCAGAAGCAGCATAACAGTGTTAACGGTCGCGTGAGCAGGCTTCGAGGCGAAACACAAACACAACGATATTAGGTTGTGAGTGATCTACTGGATGCTGCCGTGCGGTTAGCATCATGTGTGAGACAACATGTGTGAGACAACGCGGGTATCAAAAAATATTATTAAATTCGCTTTGAAACACATCCGGTACCGTGTGGCACACGCACCGTGACCGGGGAAATCAGGCAGGAGTTCAAGGGGGGAGAGGCCGAAATCGGAACGTCTGGACGAATGATTTGAGATGGGACCAAAAAGGTGTGATTCGCCATTGCCGAAACGTTGTCATGCTTTCGTGTGAGGTCTCCATTTTTCGTTGCATGCGGCGGGCGGACCCTTGGTTGCGATCTCTATAAAACAGCTTACCGTGTGCTGGGCCCGGTTCAGAAGGCCTTCCTGCGGCGGCGTTCCCTTCGCCGTACCAGCTCCGTAGGAAGCCGGTTGGTCATCATGCTCTCGAACTGTTGGTATCCTATCTGCAGACAAAAGTACGATTCATAAACGAGCACAATTGAACACAACGGCACCTTTCGGGGGGAAGCTATTGTGTTGCAGAAATAAGGTTATAGGTGTTGACGTACATACATGCCAAGAGGTAACAGGGCCGGCACACAACAGTCATTGTCACAACAGCCATTGTTGTCGCTGAGTGCGCACGAAGACCACGCGCGCGTACCACTTTACCAATCGACGTTGTTTGAAGCATCACGTCATGTCAAAAATAGACGGCCAATCAACCCCACGGTGCCGCGAACGACCCCCTTTCCCGCAACATTTGGTACAATTTTCTACCCTCCAGGATCGTCGTGTAACACCGCAGAAGAAACGTCTGCGGGGCGTGTTGACTTGACGGATCGAGTGTGCACTCAGTGACAACGAGGCGGGGTTCAATGAGCTAGGAGGTGGAAAGACACACAGCCGTCGAATAGATTCTAGTGCCCACCCGTCCACTTCCGTCCCAATCGGCTTCCGAGAACATCTCCGCAACCTTGACCGGCGGCATTTCGCTCTCGCTGAAAACTTCCGACAAGACCTGTTGATCGTACAGTACAGTACGTGCATGAAAAGCGATACCACCAATACGTGAGACGTGCACCGACTCCGCATGTACAACGCCAGCGTTTTTGTGGGCATAATGGAAACGAAGACTTCGCCCTGTCGACACGGGAGTGTTTTTCTATACGAGGTTGATTGGGGCATTGATAGTCTCTCATGATCATGATACACTGCTAACGGGTGGAAGCCTGTGAAGAACACCAGAATCAGAGCGTACAAGCCACCCTCCGGGGAACTTATTCTCCCACCTCCTCCAGAGCTCACGACCACTACTGGAGAAAATCTTGGTTCGTCATCAATCGGGTAGAACGAAGTGGAAAACGACCTCGAAGTTGAGCAACCTCACTACTTGTTTGCATGCTATCGGAACGGGGAGGGGCAGCAGCTCACACGTCCTGCACCTGCCGCAGATCATCCCTCGTGATGAAGCCCCGGCATCCTCTGTCAAAGGCTTTGAAGATCTGGCGCAAATCCTCCGCCGGATCGACCAGAGCGAGGCGGCGGCCCATGGACTCGACAAACATATCTCTAGACATCCCTGTCCGCGAGAAGCCAGCAGACGGAAAGCGTGCACGTGCCTCGCTGGTGTAACTTCCTCAGGACGACGTACCGGACACTTCGACGAAAGATGGTCAGGGAGGCAGCTTGAGGTGACGCCATGTCTGAGTGGTCCTACAGGGGATGTTTGCGGTATTTGTAGCATCTCACGTGCGCTATCGCTCCTCCGAGCGGCTCGTTTTGCAACAGCCAAAAGAGCGCCACGAAAGCAGGGCGGCACAAGGCCACTGACTATACATGTTGTATGATTAACATACGAAGTGCCTGCGTCCAAAGATCCAGATGCAGTGGAAAGCCACATCAGCTGTGTCTCCCATACACCATTGCGAAGGACACGACAAAGGCACAATTTATCACACTCTAAGTGATCTATTTACATGACGGCGGTTCTTTAGCCACGACTTCGGCGAGGCACCGCGAAGTGCACATGCTATCGAACACCGTGAAAAACAACGTGTTCGGCATTTGGGCATACGGAGGACAGGCTACCCTCGTTAGAAGGAGACCCAGGTCATGGCGTCAGTATTCATCCACTACCAGGGGCCGGCAGTTTTCTTTCTTGAGCTTTAGCAAAGAGAACGGTCTCGGAAGAAGTAGAGTGTGACCGAAGAGAGAGGGACCGAGTTGTTGGAACGCTCCCCACTCCCTATCTCAGCAGGTGGACTTGGAAGAGTCATATCCAGAGCGGGGGTTCTTGCTGTCCAATGGTCGGCAGGATGCCATCAATACACTCCACTCAGATCGCATCTTGCCGTACCCTTTGTGTGCTGCACGAGCGGTTACCTCATCTCTACACATACGTAAGTACTGTAAGTGTCGGATCCTTGACACGGATCAGAGTCTTGGCACAAGGGTACGGAAAGAAAGTAAGAGCCGAGCGATATAACTCGATTATCGCACAGGTGTCGGAGTCTTGGCATTAGGTATCGGAGGCTTGACACCATTGTGCGAGTAAGACTCAGAGCGAAACGAAAAAAAATACATGACCACGCACAGAGTGCGAAGACTCTGAACAAACACGGTATTTAACCTTCACGACACGTGGGGTACTTTCGGTATTGTGGTCCTACTCCAGAAAAGAAGGTTCCCATCGAGGATGAACGTCAAATAAACTCTACGGTCAGGTTCCACCTGTCATGCTATAACACGAGGACTTGTGGCCATTGCTGACAAATCAACACGTCTACGAGAAGTGTTGGGCTTGACGCGAAATCAAGGAATTTGTACACTGAACTACAATATCGACAGTCGACATCTTTGTGTTTCGATTACCTGGACATTGCGGATCCTCTGCCGTTGCTAAGGCTAGCATTTGTTGCACATCGAACTGCAGCGCACGCGAAGAGGGAGATTGCAAGCGACGAACACATGGCTCGTTCAGCGAGTGACAGCCGTCCTGGTAACACACGCACCATGCAGTGATCGACACTCCTGCTCAGGCTGTGACACCCCCCCGGACCGATGATTATTGCAAGCGCTCGCGTCTATCAAACCACCAACGAACGAGTCTCACATTTCAGTCTGAACTCTGATAGACATTTTCTAATCATACCACTATCTGATCCGCGTCTTCGTCATTCCCGATCAGCAAGATATGCAGAATAGATGTTGGTTCGTACCTTCGACGGACGAAATCCCAGCAGAGCGGTCACCGCCACCTTGAGATCGTCCTTGTCCAGGTAGCCTGTGTCAGGAAATAGAAACGGTGAGGCAGAGAAAACAACGCTTTGCGGTTCGGGGTGCTTGTTCCCATACGCAGAAGACTACTGAAGGCGCACATGAACAATAAATCGCACGAGCACAGCAAAACGCATCTGGAAGAGTGGGTTCCTGCAACGTAGGCACATCACTGTAGATATACTGGTATCTGCTACTACAGCAGTAGGTTCCCTCTGAACCTCAATTTGTGCGGTACCATCGTCGGTCAATACCGTACATGTAGTTTACGCCGGGCATCCAACGTCCGAGCTGCTACAACTACAGAACGCACCCGCAGTCAAGACCCCAGTAGTTAACAAGTTGAGCCTAAAAATAGAAGTTTGATGTAAGAAGTTGCGCACCATTTGTGTTAGTTTGGTTTGGGTTGGGGTGAGGAACGTAGCCTTGCTAGGTTCTTAGGTTCAACACCGGTTAGACCGAAAGAGTCACTAACAGACCCTCTGTGTTATGGAAATGTTAGCACACAGCCAGTATGTCAATGTTCAGTAGAACTGCTCTTGTAACCGTAGATCTCATATGTGTCGATTCGAAAATAACGTAGGCATGTGTATGCAGAGAATTACTCCCGCAGGATTCTCTTCTTGCTAGCCGAGTAGCTCACTTTCTCGTGTGATCCGTTCGGATTGCTATGGCATCATAACTGTATTGGTCATCTCTGGGAAGCAGCCGTCGTCTGGGGTAACTAGTCTAAGCGCCAGTGTCACAATATCTCAACATCTTCTTCACACTAAAGGAAGGACTCTCGTCTTCCAGGCTATCCTCTCGCGCGTGTCATCACCTCGATGTCGACGACACAGTCTCTAAGCCACCGTGCCAGGGTAGTACGCAATATCCTTCATACTATGAAAAAAGCCGCTGCCGACAAGTGCTGGAGGGCAACGACTCCGAACAAGACAACGGCTGTGGCGAGGGAAACATGGATGTGTAAACCTATGGGAAGATTGTTGTTGTTGTTGTCTTCACATTAAAACTCTCTCTACTCAGTACCTTCGTATGTCCGTACTGGTACAACACTCGACGCGGTCGATTCCCGTGGTCGCAGGCTAACTTACCCTTAAAAGGTACACTCAATTAAAATGGCCCCGAGGGGTCCGCAAGTCAATAGAAATCAACGACAGATATTCTGGAGTCCTCTACTCCCTCTGCGCGCTATGCGAGGTAACAACTGAGACTAGGAGTCACCATCACGGGCCGGAGAGAATGAGGTACACCCCGTTGGTTCAATCTTGGTACTTCACAACGCAAGCAGAGACAAGGCCATCTGGCACAGAAAAGAGAGAAAAAGAGGAAAAGAGAAAAAGGGAAAAAGAGAAGAAAATCAAAGAACAGAGTAAGGAAAGAGAAAATGAAGTAATAAGAGCGAGGACAAAAAGGGACCAGGCCGAAAATAACAAGAATCAAGAGACAGAAAAAGGCACACGGTGGAGAGACCACCAACGACAAGCAAACACGCAAACATGGCCACCAACCAGCGATACATTGTAATGGTACGTCATCACTAGTGGGGGGTTGGTGCAATGGTGCAGCGTTGGGGGGGGGGGAATTGGCTAAAAGAAATTCAATCCGGCACGTATCGCGCCACTCGGTCCGTCTCTTCTCGTTTGCTTTCTTCCCTCGCCGTCTCGTCCGTCTCCTGCCCCCCTCCCGCCCCATTGGTTGGTGGCTTGTGGTTTCGTTTGAGCGCCCGTTGTCGGCTGGCCTCTTCTTCCTTCTCGTGCCAGGAGGTCATGAACCTCTCAGCTCCCTGCAGCACCGCCGCATGCCAGGGTACTCCCCCCTCTACCTTCGCGGCTTCCGTCCACTTTGACTTCGGTACCGTGTCTTTCGGTACCGGGATTCAGAGACAACATGGATCAGTTTTCGTAGATTCGTGGTCGGCCCCGAATGCCTTCAGGTCATCGAGCACACACTTCGGCCAGTTCTGTCTCTGTCCCCCCCTGCCCGTTCGCCGAACATCAGTCGTTTCGGGAGTCGCCCGTCCGGCTGCCTTGCCAATGCTCCCGCGAACAGTAGGCGTCGTTGCCGGATCGTGGCTTCAACGCTCTGGCATTCGACCCTCTTCAGCGTCTGGGCGTAAGAGAGCTGCCGGTAGGTGTCTTTCTTGCGCTTGTACTCGATACTCGAAGGAGCAGCGGGTGGTGTATCGACCGCAGCGTCTGATAGTGGCCGCTGAGTGGTGACCATGTCATGCAGCCGTACAGCAGTGNTGCGGCTTCAATGGTCAGCGGTGGAGGCGGTGGGGGCTGTGATATTGTAATCGGCTTGTCCTTCGCGCGCATCAGGAGCGTCTCCGTCTTCTTCTCCGACACCGTTAGCCCGAACTCCCCG